AGATAAACTACTTAATGTGGTTGTTTATTTGATGTCTCCGTAGATTAGATGAATGACTGAAACTCTTCCCGCATGCAGTGCAGTGATATGGTTTCTCTCCAGTGTGAATCCTCTCATGTTTTTTTAGGTCTCCTGACCGACTGAATCTCTTGTCACAATATGTACACTTGTAAGGTTTCTCTCCAGTGTGGATCCTCTGGTGCAGTTTCAATTGATCAGTTGTAATAAAAGTCTTCTCACACTCAAAGCACACATGATCTCTCACACCAGTGTGTATCTTCTGATGTAGTTTTAAACTCTGCAGATGTGAAAAACTCTTTCCACAGAAAGAACATGAATGTGGTTTCTCCTTTGAATGAACTTTCAGGTATTTATTCAGGCTTAAAGCCCACAAAAATGTTTTTCCACATTGATAACATTCATACAGTTTCTCTCCAGTGTGGATGTTCATGTGTCTCTTAAGGTTTGATGATTGTGTGAAACTCTTCTCACACTGATCACAAGTGAATGGTTTCTCTTCAGTGTGGATCCTCATGTGTCTCTTGAGACTCTGTTTGCATGTGAAACTCTTTCCACACTGAGTGCAGGTGAACCTTTTCTTGTCTCTTCTTTTCAGTAAAGAAATACTTTCAGTCTGTGAGTGAGTTTTTCCTCTAGTTTTGACATGATGTTTTTTTCTCCTCCATTAGACCTGAAATTAAAGTAAAAAAAAGGTTACGATATAATTAAATCGTTAAAAAATTTGAGAAATGTAAAGTGATAGCTACGGTGGCCGAGAGAGAGCGCAATGCGTTGCAACTTCAGAAAACACATGCAAATAGAAAAATTACCAGCAAATAAAAAAAAACAACATCTTCATCAGTTTGACAGCAGGTGCTGCGAATGCTCACAACACAGCCAAATAAAGAATTTTATTTGCAATTTTATTTTCTTTGTTTGTTTGGTTGTGTTGTGAGCATTTGCAGTGTGCGTGTTGTCAAATTGATGAAGTTGTTTTCTTAATTTGCAGGTGTTTTTTTCTATTTGCAGCACACTGAGCTCTCTCGGCCACCGTAGAAAGCAGACAACAGCTACACCAAATTATAATCATTTTGTTACATTTTTACAAAATAAGATACAATAATCTATATTAAAAAATACAGACACTAATCCAATGTTTCTGTAGTGAAAACTATTCTATTATCTCACGGCTTCTTTCCAAACTATACTTTTCCCTTCAGATTTTGACATCTTTATATTTACTTCAATATTCTCTTTTTTAATATTGAGTTTCAGTCCCTATTTCGCACCCTGGAGATAGAAAAAAAAGATGCACTTTTTAATTTTTTTGTTTTTTTTGTTAAACTCAAAGTATTCTTCTACTATAAACACTAAATCTGATGAACTGCTGATAACTTTAAATGTTCTTCAGCTTCATTGATGAAGGATCAAGAATAAACACCAACCTGTTTGTTCTTCAGTGCGTTTCATTCTGCAGGATTCTGGATCTCTCATGTTCTCTCTGTCCTTCAATAAACTCTGTCTCTGCAGATTTCACTTCTTCCTGATGCTTTGATGCTCGTCTTCACTTGTAGACTGATGGGAATATTCCAGCATTTATTGATGAACTGCAGTGGGAGGAGCTTCACTGAAGGTAATACTGTTGTGGGAGGAGCTTCACTAGGTGTGCTTGTTGTGGGATGAGCTTCACTAAAGGTGTGCTTGTTGTGGGAGGAGCTTCACTGAAGGTAATACTGTTGTGGGAGGAGCTTCACTGAAGGTAATACTGTTGTGGGAGGAGCTTCACTAGGTGTGCTTGTTGTGGGATGAGCTTCACTAAAGGTGTGCTTGTTGTGGGAGGAGCTTCACTAAAGGAGTGCTTGTTGTGGGAGGAGCTTCACTGAAGATGTGCTTGCTGTGGGAGGAGCTTCACTGAAGGTGTGCTTGTTGTGGGAGGAGCTTCGCTGAAGGTGTGCTTGTTGTGGGAGGAGCTTCGCTGAAGGTGAGATTGTTGTGGGAGGAGCTTCACTGAAGGTGTGACTGTTGTGGGAGGAGCTTCACTGAAGGAGGAGCAGATCTGCAAAAGTTTGAGTTTCACAATTCACATAAGTATTTACATTTACCTGCCATTTACAGTAAAATATCTGAATACAAATTCACACGTGCATTTCTGTTCGTCTGTTAGATTTTTTACATTTAATATTTGCAAATATTACAATTTTAAGAATAAAATCAAAAGAATAAACAGAAGTATAGTTATGTAACTAACAAAAATCTGTGTTTCCATAATTCCTTCCATTTGAGTTTAAAGTTTTGTTCATTGGTTTTTACCAATGTAAAAACCAACATTTTTTTGGCATTGTTTTGGTTTTTATTAAACAGTTTAACACACACTAATAATATAAATGCTGTTAGGACATCTGTATCTTGTAGATATCACAATAGTGACTGCATAGTTTAAGTCTCTGATAAGAATGAATTGAACTTTAACTGGTAATTTACAGGAGATCTGCATAATGAATGAGGTGAAAACGGGCTATTATCATGAAATAAAGAGGATTTTCAGCAGCTGATAATATTGATGAGTCTCAGACTATAAACCAGTGGTTCTCAACCTTTTTTTCCACCGCGATACCTCGAGTTGTCCTAGACGCGGCGCTTGGCTTCTCGTCCGGTGTGCGATACCTCGAGTTGTCCTAGACGCGTGGCGCTGCGCTTCTCGTCCGGTGTGCGACCCCCTTAAAATGAAGAAGAAGAATTGGTATTTGGCGCTTTTTTTGAGAATCTACCGTTGAGCGCGGTGATGACGTAATCACGCGCGCGCTCATCCAGCGTCGCGTTGTGATGGGAAGTTTTTTTTTTTATTCCCCACTTCTCAACCTGCTGAATACACATCTTGCACTTTCTTAAGTATATGTTCTACATTTCTTCCTCTTTTCCATATTGCTCCATCATCCGCAAATAATGATCGTCCCATACCTGCTGGTACATTTACATATATGTGCACCACTGTGTGACGTCACATGAAACCTATGAATAGAATGTGCGCTTCTGGTGTGCGATACCTCGAGTTGTCCTAGACG